ACTCATGATCTCAACTATTAAAATTACTATAATATCCACAATACCCCTTCCAAATATAGTTAACTTGTTGAAATATTTATATGACAGGAACAGGTAGTTCAGATATTCAAGCAGGTCGCCATTCTGTTGCATTTAAAATATACATCGAAATAGATTCTATTCCATAAACGAAAAAAAAAATAAAAATATTATTGGTTAATATACTTGAACTCCAAACCCATAGGCTAGAGACTATCAGCAATAACCTACTATGATTGAGAACGATGGTAGATAAGATGCAGTTCACAGAAAGCAATAAATTAGATCAAAAGGCACGACTTGATCTAAAATCTGGATAGATAAACGAAAACAGACTAAAGAAGGTATGATGAGAAGAATTAGAAACAAATAGTTGTTCTCCATGAGTGTTTTCGCCAGCATGTTCTACCAACAAGTGTAAGATATAGACCTCCAATCAACTGCTCATTAGGATGAAAAATAACTAAGTAAAGTAGAAGAAAAATGGTACACCTAATGATAACGGATGTATACTACAGGATCCGCAAATACTAACATGTCATAGAGGAACAAAAGATGAAGTTACAAAGGATACTCACGTCAGAACATTTAGAAATCTTGACAACAACCATCGAGATATCATGCAAATGATACAGAGAACAAAGAAGAAACACCCTAAAGAAAAACCTAATCAAGATCTCAAAAGCACCCAAAAAAAAGAAAACACAAACAACTGCGTGATCAATCTATCAAAACAAATGGGAGAATTAGAAACAAATAAGTAGTATTTGCTAACAACTTTAAAGGAGACCACAGGAAAGATATACATAAAGATCGTTTGTCGTTCAGTGGATTAGTTGAAGCTAGACATTAACACCATTAAATACTGGCTAGCTCAGTGGTCAAGTAGTTAAGTGCTCTAAGAAGTGTAGCAAGGTTATATAAGTAAATAAGGTATCTAGACTAATAGTGAAAAGTTCGGGCTATAAATACTACTTAGGAGAGTATTCACTGTGAAACTATATCAGAATAGGAGAATCACCATGAAATATCTATATTATGTTATTCAGATCAAGATTTTAAAATACGAAATCCTACAGTATCTGTCTCAATGCAAGACTGTGATTTCGTGCACACAGGTAAGAAAGCGGTAGCATAGAATAGTATTCGTATGGCTTAATTTATTATTATTAGCATCAAAAGTCTAGGAATCACGTTATATTCCATAAATAAGCGGTTAGGTTTCATAAACTTCTTTCTCTACCAAGACATTCCATTGACATTACTACTTAATCACAATTACATATAAGGGATTTCCGAAACAACCTTCTCTTGGGTAATCAAGGTAATACTATGGTTCTCGTCGAAATCAACAGCAAACATTTTTTAATAGATTGATCCACCATAACCTTGAAACTGAAAATTTCCCACTTGATCAGTCCTTTCTTTATTCTCTAGTGTTACTAAAACATCTTTTTACCTTTCCTAAATGAATGTTACACAACATTACTTTCTGGACTGTAGCTAAAAAGCAATCAGAATTTACATTGGTATCATGTATGGATCAATGTCAAACCATCATTAAAAACCTGGAAGTACTAAACGGTCGTTTCATTCAAGTATAGGACTCCTCAACAGTGCGCATCCACGATCCCGCCCTCTGAACTTAAACACATGATAAAACAGTCATTCAATGCTTCCAGATTTTCAATGATGATCAAACATTGATTTACTCATGATATCAATCTAAACTCTACAATCTTTACACACTTATACTGATAAAAACAGAATTGTGAATCACAAGTGGTTATGTAGTATAGTGATAGTCTTATAATGATTAAAACTATATATGAATTCATATATATCCCTTAAGCTAATAAAAGTGTAGATTGTCAACGTATATGATTTATGTAGAATGATTAAAGGCCTACTCAAGTTAGACGTGAATGATGTGATCAACAACTAACCTTAATGTCTTACTTCACAGTCAACATCTGACGTCGATTACTCCTTCATCGTATCAAGGTACTATAAATGTTATCAGAAAGAGTTTTGTGGAGATTGTAGTAATTTCAATGGATTAGTTGAAGTTAGACATTAACACCATTGGATGCTGGCTCAGTGGTCAAGTGGTTAAGTGCTCGCTCGCGAAACCAGTAGGTCCTGTGTTGGAATCTCGCAGGGGGCGAGGTTGTTGGCGCGCACTGCTGAGGATTCCCAAAATAGGTCGAAACTGCCGTCCAGTGTTTGCAGGTTTTCCATGGTGATGGTCTAGCTTCAACTGACTCATGATCTTAATCATTGAAAGTACTATGAATGCTTTGAAAACCATATAATACTAATAACATTATTATTACAGAAATAGATTAATTTAACTAAGTACCAAACGAAACTGTACCCATCATCGTATGAGTCAATCCATGCTATACACATTCATTGATACGCATTAGTAGTTGTCCTTAATCTTGACGGGGATCGACCCATCAAAGAAACGATTGAATAGAAATTTTCTGTTTTTTTTCCAAAAAAAAATAATAAAATTAAGATTTTTATCTAAAATAACCATACCTGTTGATAATTGAAAATCATTTTTACTCTTCTTTTTTTTCTCTTTTTTTGTGTGCGTGGGTGGATGTGAGGGTGTGGTTGGCTGGGTGGGTGATTGTTTATTTAAATGATAATTTATTTCAATTTTTCTATTAAAAAAAAAGAAAAAAAAGAGAGAAAAAAACAAAAAAAAGAATAAAACATCTGTTTATCTAAAGGATACATATGAAACATATGAATACATTTTATCAGTTTTTTTCTTCTTTTTCTTTTTTCTTTTTTTAAAAAAAGAAGGGGAGACAAAATAGATTTATGTAAACTGATATACAATTTAGAGTATTTGTATTACGTGGAACGTATTCATTCACTTAATGTAATCATCGAAAGAATCATAACAATAATAATAATAATAATTATTATTATTATTATTATAAATTCACTTGGTGTTGCTTTACATAGATCTTCCTATTGTTATTTAGGTCTGTAATTGATCAGTTTCATGTTAGTATATGTACATCTTGTGAGGATTGCCTCAATATAATCTTAAGTCATAAACTTTTATTGGTAAAGATGGGTAGTGGGTAAAAGTGGAATCCAGTTTGACGCGAGTTTCTTCTTATTCTGAAACTTGTCAGCTGGATATACCTGCATCATAGACTTGATGTTCACTCTAGGACTCTAGGACTTCAAACGCCATCTCACTCATAAATAACAATAGGAGGATACAAGTAAAACAACGCCGAATGAATTTAAACTTCATCCCATTACACAAGAAGGTGGCTATCAGAAATGAGTAACTAAGTGGATAACGTGATTGCGTTTGAAGTGAACGGCACTAGGTTCGAGTCCCGTAGTGATCGTTAAGTCTAAGATGTAGGTACATTCAGCTGACGTGTCCCAAATAGTACTGATCTTACTCCCCGGATTCCACATCCAGCCACTATCCATCTTTCTTTGATAATTATAATAGTTGAATTTATGTGTCGATTTAAGCTGGCCCACAACTGAAAACCTTGAATCAATAAACGGTTGTTTCGTCCTAGTATAGGACTCTTCAGCGATGCGCATCCACAATCTCACATGTGGGACTCGAACCCATGACCTTCGGTCTTGTGTATGAACACTCAACCTCTGGACTACTGAACTGTCGTCCAACAGTACTAATGTCTAACGTTGATCGATCTGTTCTCTTGTTTCTAATAGATACAGATTGGACTCCACTGGTCACAGCATCTCATTATTATGGTAATGATAAAGACAGATAGGCTATAAAAATTTATCAATGAAAACCGAATAATCTGTCCAAGTAAGGTAGCCGCTACATTGAATGAATTGTTAAATGCACCCATTACAACATTTCAAATGGGTTATACTATTTGAAATAGCTGTATACAATCAAATAGACTTTATATTTCTAATACTAAAAGTAATGGATTTAGTATTGTTCTACTGACCGTATTAAGATTTAGATATAGTTGATTGAAGATAACTTGCATTTTCATTTCGATCTGCCTTTCTACAGTAGGAGGGAGATGTTAAAGTTAGTCAGTCTGGAAAACAGTTCAATTTCATTATGTTTGTTGCAGGTATTCAGAATATGAGCAGAACGTATGAAAGCTAACCAGAAATAATAACTCAAATGTTTTCTAGATAATCTAAATGTGAAGCGCTGGCATCGAGTCCTGTAAATTCTAGTTTGGATCTTTAAAGATGTTACTGATGTGTATTTTTGTAGGACACACATATGGATGGAACGATTATTCAATACTACTTTGTTTTTAATAATTCACTAACAAAAGTTATTTTTGTTGTATAAACTATCAATTGAATAAATACAAACACACGTCATATAAATATTAGAAAATGAATAATTTACAGAATTCCATTTATGATTGAGAACATGAACCGTTTGATATTAGACCATCATTGAAAACCTAGAAGCACTATACGGCTATTTCATCGTAGAATGGGACTCCTCAGTAGTGTGCATCCATGATCCCGCCTCGCGGGATTCGAATCTAGGGCCTTCGGTCTCACGCGTGAACGCTTAATCTCTAAACCAATAAACCAGTCAGCATCCAACAGTGTTAATATTTAGCTTTAACCAATCCACGAAATCGCACGACTATTTTTCATCGTCTGAGATAGAAATCTATCTCTTCGAGACATGAATTAGTTTCACTGATCATAGCTTCTCACTAGAACTCCGAAAATTTCTTCACGAAGCAAGTCACTAGTGTCTTAATAATCGCCACAACTCATCACTGATAATTTTATTTATCTTGACATACATTTACACAAATTACCCGAATTCACACACACACACACACACACACACGTACACCTATACACACACCATTGATGATGATGAAAAATTTTAAAATTACACTGATGTTATGTTTTTTTTGTCGTTTCTTTTCCAAATAATCTATTACATAATCTTAATGAACCTTAATTCATAGTCTATGCAAAATTGTTTTATTATAAATGTAATCATCACCATCATCATCATCATCATCATCATCATCACCATCATCATCATCATCATCATCATCATCATCATCCAAATCATCATCATCATCATCATCATCATCATCATCATCATCATCATCATCATCATCATCATCATCATCATCATCATCATCATCATCATCATCATCATCATCATCATCATCATCATCATCATCATCCAAATCATCATCATCATCATCATCATCATCATCATCATCATCATCATCATCATCATCATCATCATCATCATCCAAATCATCATCATCATCATCATCATCATCATCATCCAAATCATCATCATCATCATCATCCAAATCATCATCATCATCATCATCATCATCATCATCATCATCCAAATCATCATCATCATCATCATCCAAATCATCATCATCATCATCATCAGGAGGAGGAGGAGTAGTAGACTCGCAATCCCAATCTTCATGTGAACACATACTCTAACCAAGTGAATGGTGCTTTAAAATACTCGACTCATTGTTTAATAAGCTATCGATTTCAGATAGTCATTAACTTGCCTAACAAATATAAGCGGGAAGCTGTGATGAATACAGTTCAATCTATATCGGGTATAAAACATTTACCCGTACATTCAGTTGACGAGTCCCAAATAGGACGAAACGCGAATCCTGGATTCCACTACCAACCACTATTCATCATTGCTTACTAAAATTGATCAATTTCATGTTGGTATATATATGCATCCTGTGAGAATCGCCTCAATATAGCTTTAAGTCATAAGGTTTTATAAGTAAAGATAGATAGTAGTGCCCTACAATGGAATCCAATTTGATAAATGTTTCGTCCTATTTAATTAATATTTTTTATTATCAGAAGGGATTGTGTGGAGATTTTAGAAATTTCACTGGTTGAAATCATGAATCCATTGAAGCTAGACCACCATGGAAAACCTGGAAGCACTGGACGGCCGTTTCGTCCTAGTATGGGACTCCTCAGCAGTGCGCATCCACGATCCCGCTCCTCGCGAGATTCGAACCCAGGACCTATCAGTCTCGCGCCAGGCGCTTAACCAACTAGACCACTGAGCCGGACAACTGTTCAACTCTTCTATTCAACACTTCTGTAATTTCATGAATATGAGATAACATTTTCCTTTTAACTACCTTGTACAATTTTCCCATCATGTATAACCCTATTAATTTTTTTTTTCTATCTCTTCTATACTTGTAATTCATTTATATTTAAAATTCATTAGACCAATGTAACTAATGAAATATCCAATGAAAAATGTCACAATCATCATTGTGTTTGTGTATAATGTGCATATGTAAATACTACTAATGGGTTCATTCATGTCATGTACATTTACATTTATATATTGTAGATATATATACGTACACATACAAGCAAATAGGGATTTCACTGAAGGTTCATTCGTTTAGAGGTCTCTCTCTGTGTGTATGTGTGTGTGTGTATGTGTGTGATATAGGGATACATACCTGTCTACCATCATGGTTAATACATATATATATAAATGTATGACAAGAAGGATAAATTACAGTAAATGGAACGAAAAGTCAACTGTTTCATCTACCGGATTGTATATACCACTAAGTTGACGACATATTTATATCTATATCTATCTATCTATCTATTTATCTACCTCTAGAGAATATTAGACAAATAAAATAAACAAAATAAAAATCAGTTATGTCGATGATATTAATGGTAATGATGATGATGATGATGATGATGCCGCTGAAGATGATGGCGATGAATATGTATGACAGTTAGACATTTAATAATTTTCTATAATCAAAGTTAATTATCACTATACATAGCAAAATTGTTTTATTTATTTCAATTCTATTTAGATACTTATACATGAATATACCCTGTACAGATATGAATACACATTATACATAGACATAGTTATTTGTAGTACATTCATTTATTTTTGTTAAATTGAGGATAATGTTACATTTATCTTCAATCTGTGTCTGATGTACACATACACACACTACGCACATACTTACACACCTACACCTACACACACATATACATATATATACACACACACACACCAACACATAGACACACATACAACATGATTTGCACTGTACAAATAAAATGAAAATACCGCTCAACTACACTGATAGTGTTTCCAAGGGAAATTATTATTAATTTTTTTTGTCTTGGTTTTGTAATGAGAATTATTATTATTATTATTATTATTAATATTTTCATTTATTCATTATGTTATTAATTCATTTGGAGTTTTATTTAAAAATAAAAAATAATTTTTTATATTTTTTATGTCAATTCATGATTTTCTTATCGAATATATGGATTTTAAAAATGATACAAGCAACTAATATCACCATGGCAACAAATAATAATAATAATAGTAATAATGGTAGTAATCATAATAAGCATAATTTATTATTTCATTCTAATGGAAACATTTTTAATATGGGAACACAAATGGATTTTATTCATCGTTTACCACGTTACACACAAATATTATCGTCGTCGTCGTCGTCGTCGTCGTCATTGTCATCATCTTCATCAACGTCAATAATAACAACAGTTCTAGGTTCAGAATTAATTCAACTTAGTTATAATTGTATAGTTTATGATGAAACACCAGCTCAATATAATTTACTTGATGAAATGAATGGAAATACATGTCAGTTATTATCCCCAACGTTATCCTCATCATCATCTCCACTCCTCATCCTCCTCATCCTCATCATCCTCATTATCGAATATACAAATGATTAAAACAAAACATTTTGAGAAATTATTCATTCATATGAAAATTATTACAACAGCAAATCCTATAGCAAAATATTTTAATATTCATACAAATAATTATACATTGTATACAAGTCAACATATTGATCGTGAAGAATTATGTAATCAAGCGATGTTCATGACTGACATGTCGTCTATACCGGATTCTTTACGAACATGTTGTATTAATCGACGAAAAGAATGTATTTTTCCATTGAATATACTTGTACAGACAAGAATTGGTAAGGATGATACATTTGCTACTACTACTACTACTACTACTAACAGTATAAATAGTAGTAGTAGTAGTAGTAGCACTATTTCTAAACATTCATTTGACAAAGGAATTAATCATGAATCATCCCCTATTACTGATACGGCAACCGCTGATATCAGTAATATAGGTAGTAGTAGTAATATTGCTGATGTTGTAAGTAGTAGTTCACGTTCAAAATTTTTTACAATTAACATAAAACTAATTGATATCAATGATAATGCACCAAAATTTCCAAATTCTCAATATACAATACATGTTTCAGAAGGAATACATATTGGATCCAGATTACCTTTACCATTAGCGGAAGATTTGGATTGTGTAGATTATAATATTGTACGGTGAGTCTGCATATATGTATATATATTCATTGTTGTAAACGTATCATGTTTCAATAATTAACATAGTCAGTGGTATTTATTAAAGCTTAGACTTGTTCATACATGATTATGTCAAGAATCGAAGCCAAATAGTTAAGAATTCACATTGAAGTTGAGAACTTAAAGGGTAATCTAATGTGGCTTCATTAATTGGAACAATACAGTTGTTATGTATTTCATAGTTGATTCCTTGAGTTCAATGTGTGACAAGGATGGTTTTCATCGCGTATTTTTACTTTCATATTCACGACTGAATTATGATCTATTCTTATTAGTATATGTACGAAGGGTACCGGTGTAATAAACAGGACACGGGTGGGGAACAATCAAATGTAGTTGACAACAAATTAAAGAACTAGTTAGTAATATCTAACAACTATATATAGTAAATGCTTAATTTGCAAAATGTCCATCAATTGTCTCACAATGACTCAGACTTCCTTTGTTCTTGCATTTTTATACAAATCGCATTCTGTCTTCATTTTTTACTGTTCAATCTTCTTGACTCTCTGCTGTCAGACATTCTGTTCACGACTAACGTCATATACTACTTATGGTCTACATATAAGTAGTACACACCACACCGGTACTGAGTTTCAATCAGAGTATTAACATTTGGATACCGGTCAATTCGGTGGATAATTTACAAAGAAGACAAAAAATTATTTCCTAAATTCTTCTATAAACTGCATTACATTTTGAAGGAGTTCCGTACTATGAACTGGATGATTTGGTCATGGAGCTTTCATCATTCTACCTGAAGTTTGTGCTAATAATGTTGTTCAAAAGAACAATGAAAGCTCCACAACCAAACCATTCAGTTCAGTGAATAAAACTCAATCAAAATCAATCAGCTGAGTTATAAATCATTATCACTACCTCACTTCATCTTATCTAAGTAAATTATTTCTGTTGAAATTGTAAACTTATATGTTAAATGATTTCAGAATGGAAACTTCACTGTCTTTCTAGACTTAACTTAAAGTACTCAATTTGAAATAATCAGGATGATATAAAAGATTTGTTAATTATCACTTTTTATTTAATAAAAATTCCATCTGAATAATACAAAAAATTAGCCTAGAAACAGATTAATTATCATCAGAAGAGATTTTATGGAGGTCGTAATAATTTCAATTGTTGAGATCATGAGTCAATTGAAGGTAGATCACCATAGGAAACCTGGAAGCACTGGATGGTCATTTCATCCTATTATGAGACTCCTCAGTAGTGCGCATCCACGATCCCGCCCCCCCACGGGATTCAAACCCACAACCTTAACCAATAGACTACTGAGTCAGTCAACATCTAACGGTGTTAAATGTTTAACTTCAACCAATCCACGAAATTGCTCCACTATCAACATTATCTTCAGTGAGCTGATATCTCACAACTGACCTGGTTGAACTCCACTGGTCATAGCTTCTCACCAGAATTATTGAAATGAATCAAATCTCCATAAAACCGCTTCTAATAATCATCATCATATGCTCACTAGTGACTGACTTCAAGATGCATTTCCTGGAGTTCTAATGAGAAGTCATGATCAGTGGAGTTCAACCTGGTCTGTTGTGAAATATCAGCTTACTACAGACAATGAGTTATTTGTTCATTATTTTAAATACATATACTGTATCTAACAAATAATATTCTAAAGAACTATGAATGTTGTTTTGTCCTTATGTGGTATGCACTACGTATAGATCCTCTAAAAGGAATTAACTATTGTATTATGAAATTCACTGAAATTCATTTAAAGATAGATGATAGTCAGTAGTAGTATTCAGGACTGAAGTTTCGTCCTGCATAGGATTCATCAGCTTGATGCATCTGTTGTACTATTGGGGAAATTTTTAAAAAAAGTTTATGTGCATTTACATAGATACAAATAAATTCTAGTCTCATCATAAGTATGTATGTATGTGTGTGTGCGTGCGTGTGTGCGCGAGCGTATGTGTGTGTGTGCTCTTAACTAAATTGGTGATAATTTACATATAATTTACTTATATATCCCCTTTAATTTACTAAGCAAATTTAAGAGATCATATGACTTGTCTAGTCTACCTTGTACAATACGTTAGTTGTTGTTGTTGTTCTCTTTTCCTCTAATAAATTGAATTAGTAAGTAATCAGTATAACAATGATCCTTCATTCTTCAATTTAGTAGACTAAATCGAAACTTATAAAGAAATACATATCAGTGGAGTTCTTGATTAAGATCATGAATTGATTGATGTTAGACCACCAATCAAAAATTTAACAATCTTCACAACCCTGAAATAGATAATGAATATGTGCTCATTAGTGACTAACTTCATGAGAAAATCCTTGGAGATCTAGTGAGAAACCGTGATCAGTGAATTTAATCCATATCAGGTAGAGATAGGTATCTATCTCAGTACAATAGAAGGTGATCGCGCAATTTCGCGGATCGGTAGAGGTTAAACATTAACACCATTAGATGCCGGCTCAGTGGTCCAGTAGGTTAAGCGCTCGCGCACGAGACCGATAGACCCTGGGTTTGAATCCCTCGAGCGGGATCGTGGATGCGCACTGCCGAGGAGTCCCATAATGGGATGAAACGGCCATCCAGTACTTTCAGGTTTTCAGTGGTGGTCTAACATCAATTAGTTCATGATCTGAAAACCCCTAAACTGATATCAGTAGAGGGTAGTATTTAAATGTTTACTTGATTGAATGAGTAGTGATGGTAGTGGAGGAGTGATATGAAGAAGTTAACCATGATGTAACTTGATTGAATTGTGAGAAAAATAACAACTTAGAAATTCAAGTTCTTTATTGTCATAGAAATTTTGTGTAATTTGTTTATCATATAGCTTCATTCAGAAGGGGTTTTTGTAGATATTATAGTAATTTCAATAGTTGAGATTATGAGTCAATTGAAGCTAGACCACTACCATGGAAAATCTGGAAGCCCTGGACGGCTATTTCATCCTATTATGGGACTCCTCAGTAGTGTGCATCCACGAGTTCGCCTCACGAGATTTGAACGCAGGACCTATCGATCTCACGCCCGAGAGCTTAACCTTTAGTCTACTGGGCTGAGCGACATTCAACGGTGTTAATGTCTAACTTCAACTAATCCATGAAATTTAGCGACACATTCATCAATATCATCAATGAGTTACTATCTGACAACCGACCAGGTTGAATTTAAGCGCGCGAATGCTTAACCACTAGACCAATGAACCGGATATAGTTAAATGACATCCATTTTGGTTAGATGGGAAGCGGTTTGTATTTAGATTATTGATTTGATTAGTAACTAGGATTTCCTATCTGAGACTAGAATGAAATACCTATAGATTTAAAAATCAACAATATAACTATGCGATAAAAGCACAAGTATAATTACACTCAAATACTTAGACATTGAATATTTCTTTACAAGAAAGATAAGGAGATAACTGTGAAATGTTTTTCATCTCGTAAAATTCCATATAATAGTAATAGTGATGATTAGTGTCAATCGTTTGTAGACATCTTTGAATTTCTTGATTGAGATCATGAATCAATCGATTTTAGACCAGCATTTGAAACCCGGAAGTACTAGACAGCCGTTTCATCTTAATATAGCATTCCTCAGCAGTGGGTATCCACGATTACGCTTGTGGAATTCGAACCAAGAGACTTGAGTCTTGCCAGTGAATGATTAACCTCTAGACCACTGAGCCAGTATCGAACGGTGTTAATATCTAACATTAAAAAAAGAAAAAAGAAAAAAGAAAAAGAAACTTAAAAAGCTCCACAACCTTACACTGATCTTTGAATTTAATAGGTTGTATCATAAAGTGACCGTAAGAGAAGTCTTATGCAAGGAGTAAAACAGCTGTTCAATACTTCCTAGACCAGAATTGGTTGCCTAAATATGATCAATTTATGACGTAATGTATAATAATACTAATGTAGTGTACAAGAACACAAGCGTGGGACAATCGAATGGATCTGGCACAACGTTACAGTACTTGTTAATAAAATCTAACAACCATATATAGTAAATGCTCAATTGACAAAATGTTCATTAGTTGTCTTAAAATGACTCAGACTTCCTTTGTTCTTGCATTTTCATACAAATTGCATTCTGTCTTCATTCTTCACTGTTCGATCTTTTTGTCTCTCTGCTGTCAGACATTCTGTTCATGACTAACATCATATACTACTTATGGTCTACATATAAGTAGCATACACCATACTAATACTAATAGTAATAATAATAACCCTATATCATTAACTTATGAATTTTGGAAACATTTTGCGTAAAAACTCAATAAATCTAGTTCCAAAGAAGGGAAAAATTGGCACATTAATGACCTAAATACTTTTTTGTTTGTCTATTTGTTTTAAAATATTTGACCTTAATGTTTAAGTCACTGAAATGGTAGTTATAAGATTCGATATGTGTAAATGACTATGCTTTTTAATCTTCAATAGATGTATATGAGATTTTCAGTATATATTGTATCTATAGCTTTTGTTTCATCAATTGAATACATACTGGATATAATTACTTACTTACTTACGCCTGTTACTCTCAATGGAGTATGAGGCCCTAACCACCATTCTCTAACTCACTCTGTCATAGGCCTTCATTTCCAGTTCGATCCAATTCTGTCTGTCTCTATTTCTCAGCGTAATGTGTTCTTTGGTGTTCCACTTCAGCATCATTGTTCTTGAAGATTCCATATGAGGGATTGACTTGTGACACAGTGGGTGACTTTCCTCAATGTGTGTCCTATCCACTTACAACACTTCTTCTTCTTCTTCTTCATTTCTTACTCCTCTGCAATCTGGTTTGTTCTCTCCCACAGTAGGTTGTTGTTGATAGTGTATGACCAACGGATCCGAAGTATTTTGTGTAGACAACTGTTAATAAACACTTGTATCTTCCTAATGATGAGTATTCGTAGTTTTCCAAGTTTCCATCCCATATAGTAGAACTA